GGAGTGACAATTTTAAACTTGTACTTCTGTCTTTCTTTTGGGGAAAAGGTTAATCTGGACAGTTTACCAGTTTTAGCAAATGGGAATTTGTAAACAAATAAAGAAAGTCATGTTTTTGTTTTATTTAGGATCTAGCTAGTACTAACCTATGTCTAGCTATTGATACAAGTCAACTACAATTATACAAATTGAAGAAAAATAAATAACATGAGCAAAAGTCAAGTATTACTATATTAATATTCTTTATAGTTGTTAGTTCGGCTACTATTAGAAATAGAGATTTTTCTCACCGTAAATCAATGAAAATTTTGTGTTTTAAAATATGATTCCACTTCATTCCTATTAAATTAGCTCACTAGAAAATGCATAATACGTGAAAAATAAATTCTCACTATAGTACTAAAAATAATTATTGAACATTTTTTTCCTCATTGATTCAATAAAAATATTTGCGAGAATATTTATTGAATATTTTTCAATGGTAAATATCAATTGTGAATTTTTTTTAGTGGGGAGAGAGCATTGCAATGGATCGACTTTCAAACTTTAATTTACATGTATTATGAATTAAGATAGACATTGTTGCTGTTTAATGAGACTTATTCTTTATTTTTATTTATTTTTGGTTCCTACTCAATGTTTGGAATTTTCATCAAAGTCTCAATTAGATTCGAATTGCGCATTACAAAACCTATTCGGGATAATACTTTCAATATGATTTTCTTTATACCGAAAGCTCGAATCCGAGACTTCTGATTTAAAATGGAATAATCCCACCATTAAACCACAACACATATTGGTCCATGAGACATATTTAAGATTATATTTGATGAACAATTAAATCTATAATTGTTTTTGAAAAAGTGGTAATAGCCTTTTTAACCATTTGACATAGGTGATCCAATTGAGCGTGGAGAAAAAGCAAAGACATTTGATTCATAATTTAACTTATTAATACCAAACAAGTGGGCAACGTAAAATGGACTCAAGGGTATGAATCTCTTTTTTGAGAGCTTTAGTTTCAACTTATTGGGATAAGGATAAAAAAAGAGAGTATTTTTTATTGTTTGTGGATCATTAGGATAAACACAATAATTCACTAAAAGAAGTATATTATGTATAGTTAATTTTAGTTTTTTTTTTTAATATTACACTGTTGTTCATGAATATCTATTTTGAAGTCTAACTAATTCATTCTAATTAGTGTCATAAAATATTATTTTAAGAATAAAGCGTCTTCTATCATCAATAATTTCACTATCATTACTCGAATCAAGAGACAAAACTAATATTTTGAAGTTTATGAATTAGAATTCTTATCCATTAATTAAAGTTATTGATTTCTAAATTAAATTTATGTGACTGGACCAAAGCTATTGATAACCGAACTCTAAATTAAAATACGAGAATCTAACCTAAAATCTCTAATTAAAATAAAAGTATTTACTATTCCATTATAAACTTTAATATTCACTCGAGTAAAACTCTCTCTCTTTCAAGTGGAATTATATTCCATATAATTAATTTTCCATGAAAAGACTGAAATATTTTCTATACTTTGGATCAGTCCAGATCCCTTGGCACATAACTTTTGTTCCTAATTTCAAGTGACCTCATTGTACACATAATTATCATTCATGGAAGCAAATAATAATGACTAAGCTAGTTTATTTTTTCTTTTTTCTTTTTTAAATACCAAGTGGCAATTCTTAATTGAAAATATGACCATGAAAATTGAGTAGTACATTAAGATATAGTCGAGGCTAAGGGTGTGCCGCATCGACAGAGGATGGGCTAATAAGGATATATATATAAGAAAATTTTACACTGTAATAGAAATGTATATGATATTATAAGAAAATTTTACACTGTAATAGAAAGAGAGAAATTTTAAGTTCTCATGATACGTATAATTTTAAAATAAATATGATATAGCTCGAAAAATTAAATTTGTATCAGCCTAGATTCAAAACGGATAATACGAGCTATATGGGATTTGCATCATATACTGCAAAAGTTAAAATTAAGTCACACATTTCAGTTCCAATGAACCTAGATGACATTTATTTATAAATAAAAACAAAAAACCAACTCACTCAATACACTATATTCCAGTTTAGAGTTCATAATATACATCTATTGTTTTTTCTTAGCATGAAATAATTTCTAGATTTGTGATGATGAATTTAAGATTTTAATTTTGATGAGTTCAATTATGTAGAGTATTTTTATCATTGAATATTTAATTATATTTTTGAAACTATATATTTTAAAATTAAATGATTTTAAAAACTTTCAGTAAATTACATTATTAGATATATATGTGCGCGCATAATTTATTTGCTACGTATAAAGTCAAAGATACTTTTTATATACACAATAGATGCTGAATCATCTTGACTTCTTTGTATATACTTCTTTTAATATTTTGTAATATGATTCAACATCTTTTATATATATATATAAAAGTATCTTTTGACTTTATATATATAAGTTAAATTGTGGGTGATGAATTACCTAATTATATGAAATCCATCACTTTAATGTTGACACAATATGGACATCGTACCTATGGTAATTAATTAGCACCTAATTGTTCCAAAATTCACCATCTAATAGTACCATTGAGACATGATTTGATTGACAACAACATTTGTGAAACAAATTCATTGAAAAGGAAGAAAATTAAACAAAGACTATGAGAAGAACTAAGAAAATAAATAAATGTGGTCCCCGAAAAACTATAACAATTCCTTGTCCAAACAGTTTTTCGAAATAATATTCGGAAAAAAGTGATAATTCATGGCTAACGAGGCACTAAATATATTTTGAATAATTTTTATCTTTTAAGTTTGTTCCAATGAGAACTAGTTAACTTCCTGTATCTTGATACTTCTCGTTAAAAAAATAAATAGAATTCTTTAATTATCGTAAAAGAATTTCAATCTCGAATAAAAAAAAAATCTAATGGGAATATTATTTAATATTTATGTTGTAATTGATATTATATAGTTGAGATAGACAAGAAAAATGGAATAACGAAAGAAAGACGTACCTTTTTCACCCTTCATGAATTTTCAAAAAGAAAAAAGTAATCTACATTATCTCACTTTGCATTGAAAGTTCGTTATATTAACCCTCATCACTTTCAACAACAACAATACATTCAGTAAAATTTCACAAACGGAATATGAAAAGAGTAGTGCATACACAACTTACTCTTATCTTGTGAAGATAAAAACGTTATTTCTGAAAGACCCTCATTCAGTAAAATTCCACAAATGGAATATGAAAAGGATAGTGCATACACAACTTACTCTTATCTTGTGAAGATAAAAACGTTATTTCTGAGAGACCCTCCTATGAAGCATTACATTCATGAATAATAATGAGATACTACAATTTTTATTATTTAGGTCAATTTCTTTTTGTTTGTTCTTGATCAAAACTTTTAAAGAATCAGTGTCATTTTTTGTCATCACTATATATATATAGGAAGAACTATATATAGTGGGAAAATGAAAAGGAATAAATAGACCATTTGGTATTTATGGGCCACTGATAGAAACATGAAGAATAAATAAATATACTATAAAGTTTTTATAGAAAGAGTGCATGTACGTAACTTCTAAAGTTCATGCACGGTTTCCAAAATAAAAACTGTATGTTAATAGAAAGGGTATAACATGATTGCATATTTGACCTATTTATTCTCCACATACCCTTCCCACTACTCATGTCTTTCCCATTTTAGATCTAAAAGCGATTTTGTCGATTCAACTGAAACTCTGAAATTTATAATCATATCTATATCATATAATTTTTTTGTCGATTCAACTTAACTTTAAATTTATAATCTTATATATACTATATAGCTTTTAAATTATGAAGGAGATTCAGTTAAACTTTGCATTACCTAGCTCCGCCTCCATACATAGAAATGTAAATGTATACGAATAATAAGATGACATTTATTCTGAACTGACTAATTTTAGATCGTGGAATAATTTTCGCTCTATTACACACATTAGGAATGAGAGCACATGCAATGCACGTGCCATTGGTGATGGTGAGTTGAAAATTGGTTTGGTTGAATGAAGAAAATATACCTGGATAGGGTCAATTATTACTGCAGAGAATATTGTAGGATATATAATATATTATATGATCAGTAGGATCAAGCAGAACATTAATTAAATAATACATCAAGCCAGAATAAGTAGGTTATCCAAAATAAACCACACCAAAGAAGAGAATATTGTAGGATATATATTATATTATATGATCAGTAGGATCAAGCAGAACATTAATTAAATAATATATCAAGCCAGAATAAGTAGGTTATCCAAAATAAACCACACCAACGAAAGATAACTCGATGTACAAAGAATCTCACCTTAACAGGGTCTAGGAAAGATCGAGTCGAACCCCAAGGGGTGTGATGTAGACCGTAGGCAAGCATTAGTGACTATTTTCACGGTTCGAACCTCGAGAAAGGACAAGTCACACCCCTTGGGGTGTGACACAGACCGTAGGCAAGCATTAGTGACTGATTTCACAACTAGAACCTCGGGAAAGGCCAGATCGCACCACAAGGGGTGTGATGTAGACCGTAGGCAAGCATTAGTGACTATTTTCACGGTTCGAACCTCGAGAAAGGACAAGTCACACCCCTTGGGGTGCGACCTGGCCTTTCCCGAGGTTCTAGTTGTGAAATCAGTCACTAATGCTTGCCTACGGGTCTGTGTCACACCCCAAGGGGTGTGATGTAGACCGTAGGCAAGCATTAGTGACTGATTTCACAGCTAGAACCTCGGGAAAGGCCAGGTCGCACCCCAAGGGGTGTGATGTAGATCGTATAGGCAAGCATTAGTGACTGATTTCACGGCTCGAACCTGTAACTTATAGGTCAAACAGAGACAACTTTACCGTTGCTCCAGGGCTCCAGAGGTAACAAGTTGTAGCAAATTGATGTAAAACTAAGATTTTATATGAACATAAAGAAGACAAAAAGTATCTATACCATTTAACAGTACTCAAGGTGTGTACTTAAACATAAGTATGCTGAAACTTTTTACATTTTTTCTATTTTTACATCTACTATATTTGTACCTTACTATCATCTATCGTAAACGTTAGTTACCATCATCGCATTCCTCTGTTTGCATGAAGCAGAACCTTCTGAAGCTCATCGGCGAGTCCTGATAAGAGCAGTGGTTTACAGATGATACCATTCATTCCAATCTTCAGGCATTTTCTGATATCTTCATCAGTAATTGCAGCTAAACCGATGATCAAAGGCCATGTCTGGCTTCGATGCTTTCGAAGTCTCATGGTAACTTCAAAGCCATCTAAATCAGGCAGGTGAAGATCCAAAAGTATAATTTGTAACAAGGACACAATGGGGCCAACAGCACCGAGGCATTCATATCCAGATGAAACTACAGTAACGATACATCCCAATTTCTCGAGCATCTTCCTTGTTACAGCTCTATTCGAATCATCATAGTCAGCTAACAGAACTTTCACACCCTGTAAAACAGGATGTGGATATGTGGGATCAGAAGATTCCACATATTCGGACATGCCTATGGGAATTAATGGCTGCCTTTGGAATCCGACAATGACAGCCATGCCTTGATCAAAATCTTCTAAATTTTGGATTATAAAGATGTCTCCTTGCATCAACTGTTTCGACATTTTTCACATACCAGAAGGAAGTTATGATAAGGTTCAAATTCAAATAGCTAATATAAGGACATTAAAATTCAAAAAGTACTAAAATAAACACGAAAATAAAAGGCTTACATGAACCAACTTCCTGCAAACAGCAAAGCTCAAACTCTCCTCAATCTCCTCAATGTAGTACGTCGGAGTAGCAGGGGTGATCTCTGACTCAGATCGATTAATTTTTGTGCAAATTTCAAACTTGATATAGACAATGTCATTAGATGAGTTTGATCTCGGCGTTTTCCAACTTACATCATTTTCACTTGCTGAGAGAGCTCTGAAGGTAAGATGTCCTCCGTTGGTGCCATTCAAAAGATTTCCGATTATATGAAGCAAAACTTGAAAAAATCTTCTTTCATCACCCATGACTTGATTAGGAAATGATTTTTCAACCTCAATGGTAATGTTGTAACCCTTATACATACACAAAGATTTGGCGATACAAGCAGCTTCTCGTATCAAGGAATGTAGCTGAAAATGCTTCATTTCCAATGGGAATTTTACGTTCTCCTTGGTTGAAGTAACTATAACATCATCCATCAGGGTGGAGACAACGTTGCTGGATTTGATTATAGAATGCACAAGAAGCTGTTGTTCATCTCGTAACTTCTCTTCCTGCAACATCGAGAGCAGACCCAAAATTGAGTGCATCGGTCTTCTCAACCGATGGCTCATAACCGTCTGAAATGCACTCCTAGCTTGACTTGCTCTAAGAGCTTCCTCTCTCGCTTTTTGCAGTGCTTGATTCTGTTCTGTCAATCTGTCTTTGATATACTCAGATTCTTCAACCACTGCAGCATGGGACAACGCCACAGCAACTTGATCAGCTGCAGCCGTGACTATCTCAATTTCCTGGTTAAGCCAAAACCTACCATGTCCACTAGGTTGAACCAAAACGAGGATAGCATAACATTGCGAGACAATCTCATGAGTTTCACCTCCGAAATTCGAGACCATCAGCATTGGAATCCTAATAGCAGCCACAGTTTCTGGCTCACAACTCCCTCTACTGCTTGCAGCAGCAAGTCGGGAGCCCGCTCCAAGTATCTTTACATCATCACTCCCCTTGATCTCTTTTACTTCTTGATCACTGATCGGGATAGGCACATTATACATACTCGAAACATTTTCCCTTGTAGTATCATGAGTCAGTTTCATCTCGGTTCTGTTCTCATTAGGCATCCATATAACACAATTCTGCAAACTCAATAACTTCGATAGCTCAACAAGAGTTGTGTAGAGTATTGTATGACGATCAATTGACTTCCGGATCTCTTTGGTAAGCATCCGAACATGCAGTCCAAGTTCCTCCTTTTGTTTTATTCTTCCAACTTCTCGATCAAGATCACGATTCTTTCGTCTCAGCATAAATTCCCTTGCCTTGGCTTTAAGCAGCAAAGGGATGAGATTCATAAGTGTTATAGCAGTGAGCATCGAAACTAATGCAGTGAGTAGTTTGCAAACAATAAGGGCAAGAATAAGGTGAAATGTGTATTTGCCAAAATGAGTCAAGAAGGTGAGAAAATGTGTTAAACCACATAGTACAATGAATGCTCCGAATTGAAAGAGCACCCATTTGAACGGAAAACTAGAACAGGTAACGAAGTAGATGATCTCGATTGGGATGGAAAAATAGGCCACTGCTATACCGAGATCACCGGCCTTTTGAACAAATAACATTGTTTCCATGCTCCAAAATGCATCACTATCATCACAAGGACATTCAATATAACCATCAACAACCCATAATTCAACGATCGATAAAAACAACAACCATGATACTACTTTCTTCAACATTGCATCCAATAGAACTACTCTTGTTTACACCAATGCTGCTTAATGTACAATAACACACCTGATCAATCGAACCATATATGCTCAATAACTGGACCAAGTACACAAGAACCTACAATTTATTAATTCTTTTTAAAAAAGGGCACTACCATCATTATAAAATTTCACAGATATACACAAATGAATGCACCAACATCCACTTGCAATTAACATAAGCTGGTCAATAACCAAAAGGAAGAACCTACAACAACAAACCTAGTGTAGTCCCATAAGTGGGGTCTAGGGACGGAAGAGTGTACACATACTTTACCCTTAACTCGAGCAGGTAAAGAGGTTGTTTCTAAACACGCACATCAGAGCAACTAAAAGAAAAATACAAAAGTAAAGAGGACATATAAAACCCCTACCTCGAGGAAGTAAAGAGAGTGTTTTCGAGAGCAGCTAAAGGAAAAATACAAAAGTAAAGAGGACATAGAAAACAGGAAAGCATAACATAGAGAAAATGGAATAATAACAATAACCAACTAATGTGACAACTGTTACAAAATGATGAGTAACAAAAATAGTAAGACAAGACATTTTTTCAAGACGAATTAAGTGTCATATAAAATGGGACGGAGAAAAGTACTACCACTAGTATGAGCTGGGGAAAGGAAGAGCCTTAAAAAGTGTCAAATACCAACTAAGCCCCACAAGGCCACAACTTAAAAGGCATCTATTAATTTCAATATCAAAATTTTGACTTTCACAAGACTAAATATAACCAACCACTCATAAATATAACCTAGTACAAGAGGACTGAGAAATTCACTGTCCACCTCAACCAATTTAACTACAAAACAAAGAAAAACCAGAAAAACTTTAAAATCAAAGCTAAATTCCATTAACAAGAAACTTTAACATAAACAAATAAATAAAAGAACTAAAACTCATGTACAACAACATAACCAGTCTAATTCAACAAATAGTATATGGGGACGATAGAATGTATTCAGACCTTACCTCACCTCGAAAATTAGAAAGATTGTTTACGATAGACCTCGACTCAAAAAAAAAAAGTTTGAAAAAAGAAAAGAAGTTATGGTGAGCTAAATTTACCTGAAAGAAGAAAGGAAAAAAAACTCATCTTTCATTATCTGAGAAACATAAACCAAAAAAAAAAAAGGCAAGTAAACATTTACAAAGGCCTTTTGAGTCATCTTCTTTTCCAGCATTGGTATTATCAAAATAAAAAAAGAAAGAACAAAAAAACAATCTTTTGCCCACAAAAGCTCCAAATACTTAACTACTCAAAAAAAAAGAACCAAAACCCAATGCACCTACAAGAAGAAGAAAAAGATCCAATTATCCAGATATAACAAACCGGGTACCACATTACTACCCGGGTTTCGATCAACTAATTAAAAATTTTCTTCAAGTAAAAACTGAGTTTTTTTTTCATTTTAATCACCACCTTCCTTGTATACAAGCTAAAACATTATAAAGAAAAGATTTTTACACTTAAAAAAGAAAAAAGATATGATTTTTACAACCAAAAAGGAAAAAAGATGAGATTTTTACACCCAAAAAAGAAAAAAAGAACAAAAAAGACAGAGAACTTCACTGATTCTTCAAGAATTAAACACCCTTTTCATTTTATTACCTTTTTCTTTCTCTTCTGAGCTCCAATGCAAATTTAATTTCAAGAACAGAAATTTCCCTTATGAAGAAAAAGTAGAAATGTTGAAGCACTGTTGTTTTATAGAGAGAAAAAGAGAGTGACCTTATACAGAGCAGAAAAATGCAAGCAAAAAAAGAGGTAGAAAAGACAGGAAAATCTAAGTTTGGGGTGTGGAGGGTGTGGGGTGGGGGTTGAGTGGGACCCACAAACCTTATATGAAGAGAACTTAGACACAATTCTACTCTTAAATGTCCTCTTCAACCTCCCTATAAAGTATACTTAAAAAAAATTAGAAGCAAATCTTTTAACTACAATTATTATTTTAAGAAAATTATCATTAATTTACTTAGTTCTATTTAATACTCACTCTAGTTTGATACACGTATTAAATTATTTCAAAATTATAGTGCTAGAATTATAATTTTTGGATTAATTTATCCTACTTAAGAAGTGGTGTAAATTAATCGCAAGTTAAATGGAATAAGATAAGGTATTTTAAAATTAAGTTTAGTTTAAATTTATACTGTATTTAATTGATACTATAAATTTATCTTGTCAACCAAACAGAGTATAATTCTTAGCTTAAACTTAATTATAAAATACTTCATATTATCCAGCCTACCAAACAAGCCTTCTATGTCTCATCATTTTAGAGGGGCTGAAATTTGTATATGTGGTCCCTCAAATTTGACTTTTGTTTTAATTTGATACCTTAACTAAATGTGGTATTATATTGAATACTTCAATAATTTTCAAAGTGTTGTCTATTAAAATATCTTTTTTGTCCTAATTTATGTGGCACTTTTCATTTTTCGAAAGTCAAACAGTTTAAGTTTGACTGAAAATTTGTGGGTGGAATCTTCAAATTTTTTTGAAATAAAATTTATATATTTGTAAACTACGTAAAAAGTATTATAAGTCATAATAATTGATAATTCAAAATAATTACTCCTAAAAGTGTCACATAAATTGAGACGGAGGAAGTACCTAATTGACAATTTCTCACAAAATTAAAGCGTGTGACTCTCAAATGTAATGACTTTAGCAAAAAAATCGAATCAACATTCGATACGTGAAAAAATCTAATTTGTATGCCCTATTTCTTTATATATAATAAGAATATTTAATTCAATTATCAGCCCCGATGTAAATATTCTTTCCTTCTATGACATAATAGAAAAAATATATATTGGAAGGCTATAATTTATGAATCGCCGTAGTTTTCTACTCCAGTTAATAGTTGAGCACATTCGTTGTTGTTGCTCTTGTTTTGTAGTGAATTTATGAATATGAATACTTCTAACACTGAATTTGCAGAGACACCTTTTAAAAAGATATTTTCCCGAATTGAAACATCACCATTATACTAAATTTAGTCAATTCAAGTATGAATTTTGCTTTTCACATTTATTCTAACAGGATCAAAACGAGGTCAACCATGACGTGAGGAGCCATCAACATTCTTAATCAAATTTGCACATATCATATCGTTTGCATGTACCCTAGCTTACTAAGTTACTATGCTTTATCGATACCTTTCCTTACTTTAATAAGCCGACTACTCACCTTGATCTTTATTTATAAGCAAGTACCTTTGATTTGAAAATAAGTCTTTCTATCACTTTGTTCTAGAAATATGATCTCACTCGCAAGGGAAAAAAGAGATGGGTGATCTAGGAACAAGAATGAGAGATTGAGGGTTGTTAGCCCTCCTTTGATTGAGTATTGTTTGTCGCTTAAAATCTCTTTCAGATGAGTTGTACTAACAAGCTTAGATGAAGTACAGACAATGTGAATAACTATATGTAAAAGCTTTCGAGTATGATAACATGAAAGAAGACAAGACGTACCCTCTCATACTTCTTTTTTTATAATAGGAGAAATAAAGAGGGCCAGTTAAAGAACTCATTTCCCTAATTGTCATGCAACGAGGAAATTAGGTCAAATCACCAAAAGAAAAGTATCGTAAAACATCGCGACATAGAAAACACGAGACCCCTACTAGAAAAAGGAAAATGGAGTCCATGGTTACAATCAACTCATTTTTTTCTTCGAATTCTAAGTTCATCTTCGTCGCCCTTTTCCAAATAGAGGGACTTAAATCAATATGATCTCTTGGGAGTCGGCAATTTATTATCCGGAAGAGGGACAAACAAAGGAAATCAAATCTTACTATTTATGAGATCCCACTTATAGAATTCCATAAGATATGTTATTTAGTATTATATATCAGAAACAATTCACTTTGACTCGATCACCACATATATCAATGATTTTTAGTGTTTGATTATCCTAGTATAAATAATGTACCCATCCATGCTAGATGCATGACGATTACTCTACCATATTGTTTGAGAATCATAGTTGACTCAATATTTATTTTAAAAGGGTAAAATAGTCAAAATGTTACCCTTGTTAATATTCACCCTAAGGTGATCACCATGATAAATGAAGACTTGATCATTTCTCAAGAACTTTTTGAGTGTAGGATTTTTCCTAAAGAACCTTTTTTTAACAATAAATTTAACGCTAACGAAAATCCACAACTTGAACAAAGTACAAAGGATTTTTTTAGAATTTTCGTTAAATCTAATAACAAAAATTGTTAAATATTTAACAGAAATAAAATGATCAATTGTAACAAACTTAAAGGATCAAAACTACTCCATGTATACTTAAAGGATCACTATAAATTTTTCTCCAAATATAAGGTACTTTTTGTTATTTTTCTCCATGCACCTTTTTTTTTTTTTTTTTTTCTTT